TCTCTTCTAATATATCACGTATTTTTTCTGTGTCATTAACATATTGCTGAACCAAAGTCAATTGTCCTGCACAATGTCTCATATTTTGGATTTGTCTGTCTGCTTTCTCTTGTGTCTTTTAACTTGTTATTTTATCTGCCTTATTTCCTATAAGTACCAGTACCAGTACCAGTCCACAGCCTGTTAGGAACTGGCCATACAGCAGGAGGTGAGCAGTGGGCAAGCAAGTGAAGCTTCATCTGCCACTCCCCATTGCTCCCCATCATTCGAATTACTGCCTGAACCATCCCCTCCCCGACCCCAGTGTCCGTGGAAAAATTGTCTTCCACGAAACCAGTCCCTGCTGCCAAAAAGGTTGGGGACTGCTGTGTTAAAACACAGATTTGGGGTCCAGCCCCAAAGTGTCTGATTCAGGTGATCTGGGATGGAGGCCAATAATTTGCATTTCTAATAAGTTCCCAGGAGATGCAGTTACTTCTGATCTAACAGGCACACTTTGAGAACCACTGTTTCTAAGACTGAGGTTTGATTCAATTCAAATTCTTTTTTCTTTTTTTCATGAGCTTGCTTTTTAAGTTATGCTGTATGCTTCGTTTTGCATCATTTTGTATCACATCAGATGGCACACAGTGTCTGGTAATCACACTTTTAATGATGCTAAGAATGCCCAGTAGATTCAGTAATGAATAACTGATATTTAAAAAAATAACTTGCTGAATTCAGTGAAGTTGCAGGATACAAAATCAATATATAGAAATCTGTTGCATTTCTATGCATTAATAATGAACTATCAGAGAAATTAAGAAAACAATCCCATTTACAATTGCATCAAAAAGAATAAAATAATTATGAATAGATTTAACCAAAGAGGTGAAATTCTCTGACCACAGAGTAAGCAAACTTTCTTTAAAAGTAAAGTTAAGCTTCCTATCTGTGGGAATTTTTCTAGGACTGGAGTTGGCAGTTCTGTTCAGGTGGGAAATGTGAGATAAGGAAAAGGCCAATATATTTCCAAGAAGGTCTTTGCTAAGGATGGTCGCATGTTATCTCAAGAGGAATGAGTGTAATATATAACTAAGACAAAAATCTAATCTTGTCCCCATAAACCAACACTTGTGTTTTGAGGATAAGCAGGTATATATTTTCCATAGGGCATAAGTTGTGATTCTTTATCTTTGTATTTTTTAAGATCTAATTCGGATATTTTGGATTTACACATGGAATATGAAAATAATTGTTCCTGAAGGGGGGGCTTGTTTAGGGTATGATCATCCAAAGTTTTTATTGAGGTGGCACAGGTTTATGAGGCAATGACTGCCATATTTTATGTGGGTTATTAGGAGGCCTCTAGTAATTATTATTGTCTGATTCTACATTATCACCCCAATACCCATATTCCCCCATTTGTTAAAAAGGACTATTTTTTTTTTAAACTTCCATCATTCTTTGGCAAAGACTAGTCTTTTGTTTTACTAATTTATTTATTTATTTTTTTCTATGTTGGGTCTTAGTTTCTGTGCAAGGGCTTTCTCTGGTTGTGGCAAGCGGGGGCCACTCTTCATCGCGGCGCGCGGGCCTCTCACTGTCGCGGCGTCTCTTGTTGCAGAGCACAGGCTCCAGATGTGCAGGCTCAGTAGTTGTGGCTCACGGGCCTAGTTGCTCCGCGGCATGTGGGATCCTCCCAGACCAGGCCTCGAACCTGTGTCCCCTGCATTAGCAGGCAGATTCTCAACCACTGCTCCACCAGGGAAGCCCTGAAAAGGACTATTTTTAGAGCAGTTATAGATTCACAGCAAAATTGAGAGGAAGGTACAGAGATTTCCCATATTCCCACTTCCCTTTACACATACATAGTTTCTCTGTTATCAGCATCACTGACCAGAGTGGTACACATGTTACAATTGATGAACCTAAACTGATGAATTATAATTACCCAAAGTCCATAGTTCATATTAAGTTTCACTCATGGTATTGTACATTTACGGATTTGTACAAATGTATAATGACATGTATGCACCACTATAGTATCGTACATAGTATTTTCATCACCCTAAAAATCTTCTGTGCTCCATCTATTCATCTCTCCCCACCCCCTAAACCCTGGCAACCACTGATCATTTTACTATGCCTAGTTTTGCCTTTTCTAGAATATCATATAGTTGAAAACATACAATGTATAGTCTTTTCCATTGGCTTCTTTCACTTAGTAACTTGTATTTAAGGTTCTTCTGTGTCCTTTCATGGCTTGATAGCTCATTTCTTTTAGTATTAAACATTACTCCATTATCTCGTCAACCAGAGTTTATTTACCCATTCACCTACTGAAGCACGTCTTGATTCCAGGTTTTGGCAATTGTGAATAAATCTGCTAGAAACATTAATGTGCAGGTTTTATGTAGAGATAAAATTTTAATTCCTTGGGTAAATACCAAGGAGCACAATTGCTGGATCATACGATGAATATGTTTAGTTTCGGAAGAAAAAGCAAAACTATCTTCCAAAGTGGCAGTACTGTTTTGCATCCTACCAGTAATGCATGAGAGTTTCTGTTGCTTCACATCCTCTCCAGCATTTAGTGTTGTCAGCGTTCCAGATTTTGACCATTTTAATAGGTGTGTAGTGATACTATTGCTTTAATTTCCATTTCCCCAATGATATACGATGTGGAGCATCTTTTCATATGCCTGTTTGCCATCTGTATATCTCCTTGGGTGAGGTGTCTCTTAAGGTCTCTGGCCCATATTTTAATCAGGTTGTTTTCTTATTGTTGAGCTTCAGTGTTCCTTGTAGGTTTTGGATAACTGTCCTTTTACAGATGTGTCTTTTGCAAAGATTTTCTTTCAGTCTGTGGCTTATCTTCACTCCCCAGTATTTTAAGACTAAAGACTTTGTAGTAAAAGGAAAACTACAGTCTGAAGTGCCAACTCTGTAGAGAACCTTTCTTAGATGCTGTGAAGTAAAAGGTGGAAGGCTATATGTTGATTCCTATCTCAGTCTAGCTTGAAGGAAAATGCATATTAACGTGAAAAGAAAAGTAGAGAGCAATTGTGGTGTTTAATTCTGTGTCCAGTGCCATTGGCTATTAAGAGTTCACAGTGGAGGGAAAGATTGAAGTTGACTGAGGTAGAAGTGGGAATCTTTGTGGAAATTGAACTTAATCTGATTGACCTTGAAAGCTAGTTAGTTCTTCAACAGTGAGATAGGTGAGAAATGACACTCCATCTGAGAAACATAATTCAGTGTTACAAAACTTTTGGTTTATATCATAGAAGAAAAAAACTTTGATTATGCTCTAGATTTAGATCCTGAATATTCTCAGATCTGTGATGGGTTTCCTTTACCTTGAGTGACTAGGACTATAAATCCTTCGTGGTTCCAAGTGGTACTGTTAGTAGCAGATGGCTGGCTTCTGTGTCTCACATCATATCTGAAAAGAATAGATTAGCCCAGCATATTTGCATCCAGATAAATGTATTATAACACTTTAAAATATTGCACATTGCCATTTAAAAAGCATACATAGTATATTTTTCAAACTTACGGAATATTTGCCTTATATTGATTAGGTAATTTCACCTTGTTAATGATCTGAACTATAAAAATATGCCTTTTTTTCACTTTTAATGTCAGTGACCTATTCTAGTTTTGTTATCCCTCCTCTGATTATACAGTAATAATATATTAGTGCAATCCTCAAAGCATGCAACACATATGTTATCATTGTATGGAGGCATTTTTGAACGCTGATGATTTAAAATTTCCCATTGTAAATGCTTTCAAAAGCATTAGACTATGTTGATAGATTTGAAGGTAGCTGCTGTTGTTTACAGAATTATTTTCTATTTAGCTGGGGCCATCTGGGTATCTAAGTCATCATATGTGAAATTTGGGTCATTAATTTGACCTTGTAATGATCGATTTCTGTACTAGTCCAGGCTCCATTGCAAATGATCTAAATTCAGATTTAAGCAAAAATATAAAGTGGGGAGATGGAGAGGATATAGTATCACACAGCTGAAAGGTCCATGGGTTAATTTAATTTCAGGCACAGTTGAATCTAGATGCTCAAATGATGTTATCAGGTCTATTTCTATTCTGCTTAGCTCTGCTGGATTCAACCTGATTTTAGTTACAGGCACACTTTCTTCACTTGGAGGTGAAGTCAAGGCACTCATGCCTAGGGGAGAGGAGGTTGTGGCCCATAGGATTGGCACTTTGACCTGGCAAAGCAGGGGCTGATTCTGAAAGGAACAGATGCTGGGCTAACAAACAAGTAAAAGCTACCAGAGCAGGACCAATGGTTGGTCTTGGACACAATTACCAACGTTTGTGAAAATTGTCTTGGTTGGCATTCATCTTCTTTTGTACATTACAAAGCACTAAGCTTAACAAATGGCTAGGAGGAAACCTAGTTGCTTTTTTCTAAACCAAAATCAGATGCCATCTTTTGACTCATAGACAAATTATAAACTGATTTTAAAGCATGTTTTCCTAGCAGTCCTAGTATCAGTATTTTCTGTAGTCCTTGTTGGGCAAATCAATTAAATATACCTACCCCTCAGTTTCCTTATCTGTTTCAAGAATACTAATGCAGTTAGACTGACTAAGCTCTGAGGTCATTTCTATTTCAAAGAATATGTGATTCAGTGATTCTTTTACAAAACTGATTACAGGTTGGGTTTTTTTTTCTTGGAATATGTATATTGAATGGAAACAGTAATTGCTCTCAAAAAAGCTAAATTCAGTAAATCTTTCTGCAGTTATGGAAATGTACTATGTGGCTATTAAGCACTTGAAATGTGACTGATGTGACTGAGAAAATGAATTTTTAATTTGATTTCATTTAAGCTAATTTTGATTTAAATTAAAATAGCCACAGCTCTAGAATTATCAACTTATTTAAACCAGATTTTTGAGAAATGATTGACATTAAAAATAAAACAAAATTGATAAGCTTGTGCAAGGAATTTCAAAGCAGCAATTTCCCATTTTCTTTTCAGTCCCCTGCACATAGCTATTCAAGCTACGACTCGGGCAAAAATGAGAGTGTAGACCGAGGTGCTGAGGACCTGTCCCTAAACAGGGGAGATGAGGATGAAGATGACCACGATGACCACGAAGATTCTGAGAAAGTTAACGAGACAGATGGCGTTGAAGCCGAGCGGCTGAAAGCTTTTAATGTGAGTCCTGCCACCCTACCATTATGGCTGAATTTTTACCACTTCACTTTCATGTTGTTGCTTGTTGGTAACTGTGGCTACTTTAGAGACATGTTTGTTTAATTTACAGAAGGATTTTAAAAGTACATGAAACACTTAGCCAACCAGACACCAGAATTGCTGTGTTTTGTTTAGAATTTTAAAGCCAAATGTGAGCTGAAAACTGCACTTGTGCTGTGTGAGTATGCATGTTTACCTAGCGGATGAAGGGAGCCTCAGCTTATCCCTCGGAAGCGTCTGCCCGTCATCCGTTATTTTGTTTGCTTTCCCAGCTTATCTAATTATGCATGAAAAAAGAGTCAATTGTTTGTTTTCCGAGATTAGTATGCTGCACAGTGTAGCAATGTAAACAGTCATATTATTAATAGAGAATTTTATGGGGTGCTTAATCGTCACAGTCTACTGTTATTTCTTGATTTTTTTTCTACGCAGTAGTCTAAACTTTTCTGTCTGTCTGTCTGTCTGCCTTTCTCTCTCTCTTTCTCTCTCTCTGTTTTTTAACCCAACCATTTAGAAAGTCTGTAAAGGGTGTTTGCTTAAAAGTTCTGGCTTTCCATTGCAAAGTTCTCCAGTGCATAAACCAGACAAGACTATTTTCCTATCAGTAATCAAGACAGGAAGCTAGGAACAGCAGAGAGCAGCCCTCCAAACCCTTCTCCTCTGTCTCCCTCTTGCCAACAGATGTTTGTCAGGCTGTTTGTAGATGAAAACTTGGACCGAATGGTCCCAATCTCTAAGCAGCCCAAAGAAAAGATCCAGGCTATCATTGACTCATGCAGGCGACAATTCCCTGAGTATCAAGAGCGTGCCCGAAAACGCATACGTACTTACCTCAAGTCCTGCAGGCGGATGAAAAGAAGTGGTTTTGAGATGGTGAGTTTTGAATTGAAACACAGCCCTAGATTCCATCCAAATCCCACATGTAACCATGACAATTTTTTTTTTCATCTTAGTGTCTTTTTAATTTTTTCCATAACGTCAGGTCCAAGGGGTTTTTGTTTGCTTGTTTGTTTTTTTCTCCTTTTCATCTTCCTGAAGTATTTATCCCCTTTGTTGAGTCAATAAGACATACCTTGTGAGACTAGTGCTCACAAGCCTAGGTACCATGTCGTAGGAAATGAGGGTCATGTGAGTGAACAGCAGTGAGAGCCAGCGTCTCATTCTTGTGTGTTTCCTTTCTGTTACTGCTAAAGCAGATCTAAGGTTATTCAAGTCTTGAACTGAAGCACCAGTGGTTGCTTTAGACGGCCTGTGAGAATGGCTTTCTCTGGGACAAAAGGAAATGGATGGATCCATCTAAGTAATACTATTTTCATGCCAACAGTTAACAAATAGCAGGCCTTGAAAATAAAGGTCAGGGAATGAAAATCCTTGTGTGAAAAATAAGGCTTTTGTGTACTCGGTATATTTGTGTACTTGTCTTGTGGATGGTTAACATGAGTGTTTAGATTCAGCTGGGCTTTTTATAGATGGATGATATTATGCCAGTGTTAGATATTTATGGGTGGAAATTAGACAGTGTTATTTGACCTTTATTCCATCTTACCTTGATGGAATTGTTATACTAGAAGTAGTTTTTACAATTATTTTAAAACTTTCTTTATATTTTTATGTATTTGAGTGGACATGTATTAGAAATTTTCTGAAACTATTTTCATTGTACTTTTGAGAAGGCTCCATAAAAGCCAAGACTCTTCGTTGCTTGTGATCAGTGCCTCCAATTTATTAGGTGTGATGGAACAGGAGTTGGTATAGATATAGGAGAGGTTTCAGAGTATGCCAATAGGAGAAACAGTTTTCCAGATATAAATGAAATGAATAACAAGTAATACCTCCTATATTATCTATTTTTCTACAATGGCTTCTAAAAATATCTTTGATATTTTTAAAAGAAAAGCGACTGTTCCTTATAGAGAGGCAGTCTGCCAAGATGGTCACTAACACAAGGCTCGGTACCTGGAGAGCTTGGTCTGGAGTTCTGGATCCACCAGTTTGTAGCTATGTGACCCGGGCAAGGTGCTTCAACTTTCTGAGCTCAGGTCCCTCCTCTGGAAATGAGAATAATTCCTAACTTACAGTGCTGACAGGATTATATAAATTGTCATGTAAAGCTCGACAGGTCATTTTTGACCTATAGTAACCACTCAATGAATCTGAACTCTGAAAATATAATCAACCAAATATTATTTAATCTATCATCTGAAAAAAGCTACCCAAAATATTTGTATTATAAAATCACAGAACACTGCATTTAAGAATTTGCTTACTTCTTAGAATAACTATATTGAAATTGGAGTTTGTTGTACCTAAATTATTTTAAAATAAAATAGCATAGCTATGCCTGATGAAATTAAATTATGACAGTCAAGGTGGTATGGTATAAGAGAGGAGAGATTGCTTGAAGAAGATACAGCTACTTCCCCCATTATTGAATTCTTTAAAAGTTATTGTCACCCAATAGGAGAAAGATGACAGACAAAAAGGATATCTAACCAGGAATAAAAGCCCAGAACCCTGGCTTTGACATTGGTTCATCATCAAATTGGCAGTTGTAAAATTCCAATAGAATCTAAGTATGTCTCATTCAGTGCACAATGCACAATATATACTTTCCTCTTTCAGTAACAATAAAGATAATAATGTTATATACCATGATTTTATTTTACCAGCATCTGGCACTACTATTTCTTCTAAATCTTTTAATGTTATTTAGAGATTCTTTTCTTTGGTAAAATTTATCTTATTTTCCATTTATTAATAATTCTTGAAAAGAAAAAAATCATTGTCATGTAGAATTCTTAATTTCTCAAAGGTGTATTTGAGATAATCACAGGTTTTTTATTAGTTGTAGTTATTTACCAAATATGAACATCTATTTGATGTAAACTTTGTACTATGCATAAAGACAAAAAGTTAATATAAAATCAAGTAGGTTTACAAACTAATCTCGAAGGAAATAATGCTTTAAAGAAATGCTATTGCATTTCATATTTAATAATTTTCATTTGTTCATTTTTTGTTCACTTATTCAAAATATGTATAATGTGCATAACATCATGCAAAGTAATGAGAACTACAAAAGATGCCTGACTTGTTAATTAAGAAAATTTAACATGTTCCCTGATCATCATGATTCTTTGAGGTTACAAGTTGTGGGAAGTGAAGTTCTTAAGTAATAATATAAGGCCTAATATAAATAAATGTTAAATGAACAACACAGATGAAAATTGATATTGTAGTTTAGCCCATTTTTTAAAAATACATTGCTCAGTAATGCACTATTGGAATAAAAATTAAATTTGCCATCTAGTTAACACTTGGGATTTTGATTGGCTTTATGTATCACTTCATTGTCATGGAGTATGTCATCATTTTGAACCCTCATCCTTACCTGGAACAAATAGGAAAAGGCATGACTAGGGCAGATAGTAATTACAACTAAATATTGTACATTAATATTTTTTTGCCTTCATAATTTTAAATTTTAATATAAGACAATATCCATGGTTTTTAAAAATTGAAACATTAAAATATATTTTCTTATATTGTTTTTGCTGTAGGTAGACATGAAGAAAATGTATCATTTTTAATATATGATTATCTTTACATGCCAATTATTTTGTAGTACTTAGTAAGTCAACAGAGCAACCTAAAGAAGTTTTTAATATATTTGTAAAGTAGAATTGTAGGAGTATTTGATAGGGGACTCCGTATCATAAAACGAAAGTGGCATTCAGCAAGCTTAGCTCATCCAGTTACTTAGGATCTCTAATCCAGCAGACTCTTTAGGTAAAGCAAAACACAAAATATTGAATTATGTGTTCCCTACTGACTTTGATTAAGAAATTCAAAGAGATATTCCCATAGAAGTGGTTTATCACAACTTATATTAGTATTATACTTGATAATGTTGACATTCACTCTAATTTGCTGCTGCTAATACAAAATCTATTCACGTTTAATTAGTCTACACTATCCCTTAAGAATTTACAACACAAGTACTTTTCATTGACTTCACTGAATGCATACAAATATTAGAGTATATATTTATGCATTCTTATTTCACTGAAATTTTTAAGACCCCAAAGGTCTTAATTGCTGAAGTAGCCGAAATGTTTATGTCATTGCTCCGAACAGTCTCTATAATGCATGAAGTTAAATAACCATATTATGATACTTTTCTACCCACTTTCGCTAATTCAGTGTTCCCAATCATCTCAAATGATAAATTCTTCAGTGTTGAATATAAAAGGATATGTTTTATGAAAAATAAATCCAATAAGTTTGATACAGAGTACCGTCTTAGTTTTCATTAGATTTTAAGAACCAATGAGTTAAGCAGCCCTTATATTAATCCTTAGACAAATATATCAAATCATTATTGATTCTATTATGCAGCTTTGACTCTCAAATTACTTCAGCTAATTTTCTGAAGAATATTTGTTGATTGTTTCAGAAAAGAAATGTATTTCTCCAAGGTGTCCTGATCTTAAATTCAAGAACACCTATAATAGATAAAGCCATAAAAAGAAAGCTTAATAAACAAGGTGAGATTACCCCATACCTAAGTATTATTTGTGTTATGTGATACGATTCTCTTTTTATTTTCTGAGTTTGCATTGTTTAGAGACTCTTTCACCATGCTGCATATATTTAGACGTATTTTTATAGATCTCAAATGAAAATATTTGGGGGAGATAGTCTAAGAGACTTTCTGTCCATCCTTCCTCCTGTATCTCATATCTTGACACTATATCAAGTTAGATCAAGTGGCCTAGATATTTGAATTCAATAAACTCAGCCACTTGAAAAATTACCTATTAATTTGCATTTTACTATTAATTTGACTATATTTGTTTGAAGAATTAAATCTCATGCTTTTTTTTTTTTTTTTTTTTTTT